GATCCACCTAATTTGCATAGTGGAGTACCGACCATATAAATATGGTTGGTACCGGGAAGAGAGGGAGGAATCAAGAGATTCAAATATAGACTCTGCCCGATTGTTACTCAGTCAACACATTCTCCAGGAACGGTCTTACGAGGAATATACAAAAGACTATATCTAAATATTGTGTACACTTTCTTGTTTCAATACATTTTGTTCTAAGTACATTTTGTGTTGCATTATTATTCCATGCATTAGTCAAGTTTCAACAAGGATAATGACTTATTAATCCTTCTTACACTAACGTTTTCAGCTGATATAAAGTGGAAATATAATATTGAAGCATTTGCTAAATCTGCAGCTAAGAAAGTTGTATCACTATATCGTACTAATCAATTTTTCTCGCCGGATTTTATCTTACATGTTTTATCTTGCATCTACCAGTTGTCCTTGCTTTAAATATTGCTGCCAGATCTGGTTTTGTGCTGCTGCTATATATTCACAGATTCTTAATAAAAATCCAAAGAATCTGTAATGTTATTGGTTCTGAAATGGCATCTCGACTTCAGTTCTTATTTCAACCTAGTAACATAATTTCCTAGTGTCTTTTCTACAAGTGCTTTAGTAGTAATTGTTCTGGTGTGCTTTCTTCTAAGGTACTTAAACTTTATGAATTTTAGCGCCGTTCTAGATTGGCGGAGAGTTGTCATTATTTTATAGTTGAAATGGCTAGATATAACTGTATGTTTTATACTAACAGTTTTTTTTTTCCGATTGCATTTCTCGTTTGTGGAACTCTCTTCCAGTTTCTTGCTTCTTGTCTATATTTCTGAGATGAGGTATTATGTACACTATTTACATTATTTGGACTATTGTCCTCATCTTTGTCGCCATATTTATCACAACTTTTCGGCCGTTGTATGCTCCGACCTTCTTCAGGTGGTTGGAATATCGAACTGAACATTTCCACTCACTGGGGTAGACTGTTCTAGTTCCACGTGCCATGCTTAATGGATGCCAGTTATCAGTTATCTCCTGTTAATTACCCTCTACAAGTTCTCCACCGCCTTACCCAGGTATTGAACTCATACACTTTGGGTCCTGTCACTGGATCTAACTAAGGACACATGGCACAGCGGATAAAGGCGTTAGTTAGATCCAGTGACAGGACCCAAATAGTGTGAGTTAAGGCGGTGGAGAACGTGGAGAGAGGAATTAACATGAGATAACTCATAACTGGCATCCATTAGACATGGCACATGGAACTAGAACAGTCTACCCCAGCAAGCAAAATAAAGTGTTCAGTTCGATATTCCAACCACCTGAAGAAGGTCTAGCGTACAACGGCCGAAACGTTGTGATAAATATGGCAACAAAGATGAGGATGATAGTCCGAACAATGTAAATAGTGAACTTAATTCTTATTCTTTTATTGTCCTTAAGAGTTGTTTTTCTGATGTTATCTAACACTCAGTAACTTCTTGCGTTCCAGTGGTTTTATTGCCTTGCTTGAAATGAAATAATAATAATAATAATAATAATGATAATTGTAATATCAATGACAATAATAAGTATATAGAATAACCTGACATAGACCTTCCCTTTTCAGACTGGTTCTTCTTTCTCTTAGACTCGCTGCTCTACCAAGGCAAGATAGTTAAGTTTGCCTTACTATTTAATCCACAGCGGGAGAAAAGTGGATCCATGTCTTTTCCATGGGTAGTAGTGCAAATTGAACAAAACAGGACCCACCGTAATTTGAACTCGGCTTAACGATTTCACTTTCTACGACTCATAACCGTTACACTATCCGTGACAAGCCACAAGTTTAAAATAGACAACAATTGCTTACAAAGAAAACACATGCTAAGGAATAAGCAGCAGGTATCTAAACTCTCTTTATATTCCGCCTTTTCCACAAGGCACTGACATTTCAACCTCCATGTACGGTCGGTGATTAAGTAGACAGACGTAATTAACTAATTAATTATATTTTAAAACTCCATTAATAACGCTGAGGAAATGCAATTAATAAGTGCGCAGAGTTCCTAACTGAATTCGTTCAGTTAATGTCGTATAATATTTCGTTAGACAGAAGAATTGAAGGGGAAAACTAAGAAACATCTCGCTATTTACCCGAAGCTTCCCTACAAAGCGGGATGTGGCACAAGGCCGGTTTTAAATGTGGAGCAACACAAGCGCGTACACTGGCGCAAAAATTACCCGTATACATCGCATACACAGGATCGGGTGGCTGTCTACTTTTCCCCAGAGGAGACTTCCCGGAGGCATAGCCTCGTTTGAGTATGAAGGCAGAGAGTTCGACAAGCTCTGAGATCTCTGCTCCCGGATAGCCGCAAGAAATCTTTTAAAACAGTAAAATGAGAAGCAGGTTATTCGGTAAAGCATAATTTCTAAAACTTACACGTTTACCTCCAGTGGCAACATAGTAAGAATATACATCGCCTTCGTTTGCTGAAAGCTAAACTCATATTTCTTCTTTGTGACTCTCTCGTTAGGCCGTGCGGTCATGTCACGCTAGAACACTCAAGTTAAGCCACATCGAGAATGGTCAGTATCTAAATGCATGACCGCTTGCTTAATACCAGGTATTGTAAGCTTGGATATGCGGGTGGTGTAATGAAAAACGTCTCGGAATTCAAAATTGGAGAACCGAGATCGAATTCCCGTTGTGCTCGTTATAGTCACTTACTCGCAAATACCTTTGAGAAAGGTATGGATCCAACTCTCACCTCCATAGGTATGAATTAATTGGTATGATTTGTATGTTCCGTAAGATATTTTTTGTCGAAAGACCGCATTTACTCAGTTTCGTATCTGATGTGTAAACAAAGCAACTTCTAAAAGAATTAAAGGAACTATTAGCATTTTTATAACTTCAAAGTTGGGCCTAGGTTTAGATTCCTATCGGAGAGTACATTTTCTTAACTGAGAACAACAATTTTTTCCCCGTCAGCTTGTGTTTTACAAAAGACCAACATCATATATCAAATTAAATATCCTTTGAAATATTGCATCTCTGACAACTAAAATTTGTCTTATGTTAATATTATTTAGCTTATTTGTTTCATGTTAAACTATATGTGCGCGAATTGCATTAGATTTTGACAGATGACACGTCAACCTACGAGATTGTGTGGTGTATGTGTGGTCAGTGTAGGAATTTAATCTTCTTCGTTATGTACTGTTGAAGTTGCAATCTCCCAACGGACTAAAAATTAATAAAGAATATTATTTCACAGAATTTTGAGGTAATGCATTATTTCTAATATTTACATTAGATTTCTTGAACTTCTTTCTAATAAACCTAATGTATTTGTTATGATCAATAACTTTTACATACGGACAGAATATAATTTCAAGAACCTTTTCTTGTTTATAATTGGGATACAACAATTTAATAGAGTCTTTATTTTTGCTGGGGTTTATCCCACTAAGCGCCCATTACGTGGGGTTATTTAAGTCTATAAAATGTAATATTCGTTGTCTTCCTCTTTTTTCCTTCCTGCTTGAAAATGCAGTCGAAAATAGATAAAGAAAACTGAAGCTGAGACGTGTTCGCTTCCCTAGTTTGAACTCTCGTACAGACATGCATAAACACACGTGTATCACACGCTTGTTACACATATAGACAAACAAGCACATTTTGATAGGTAGTTGCAATGTAATTCTCTTTGATTTCCATTGTACACACATATAATTCATTTTATTAATAATATGCATTAATTGTTGTTTGTTTTAAATTCAATTTTTTGTGTTACTTATTTTTATCCAAACTTCGTATTATTGTTTATACCAAGTTTTTTTCTTTATAACTCTTTTCTAAATTTCGTTAATCTTATTTTTTCATCAACATCATGGTTTGTTAAATTATTGTTGATGAGTTTTTATTTTATATTGCTTAATTCTCTATAAAACGATGTGTCCGAAGAACAGATAACTAAAATATATAATTCATCATAATAAATTCAAAACGTCTAATCTAATTTTTAAAAATAATTCCTCACCTCAAGAATTATAGCAGCCGATATAACTCCATTAAATATATCTATATCGATATATTTTATATTTTGCCTATGTATATGTGTGTGTATATGTGTATATACCTATGACTATATACATAAGTATGTATATGTGTATGTTTATATACATATGCATCTATGTATATGCTGATTTCTTTTTACAAGACTATGCATATATATATGGAGAGGAAATTTATATATGCAGGCTAACAGGGATAGGATGACATCTCTCATCAACACATCTATCATCAACAGCTCCCATACCAAACTTAATGGTTTTATTAGCACTTAGGCAGAAATTAACTTTTGCCAACAGTCCAGAAAGGAGTCCAAGGCTCACTAAAAAGTACAGAAAACGAACAATGACACATTAAAAGAACATAAGAAAAAATATTTCTTTAAAAATGTATTCCTTTTATTTGCCTGAAGAAGTTCACGACACCGGAAACACGTGTAGAAAAATATGGAGAATAATAATAATAATAATAATAATAATAAAAAATATATATATATATATATATATATATATATATATATATATATATATATATATAAAAGCGAACATTGAACTCAACACTTAGAGACGACAGGTTGTTTCATGCTAGATGCAATCTTTACCGGCCTGAATATCTATGAAAATTTCTCGGACATTCAGGTCGGTAAATGTTGTTTAATACTGTTAATTATAAAACAGAGCATTTACTTAAATATTTGTATATATTTGTATCTATAAAAAGAAAGTATAAACATAAAAATGTCTTAAAGTAATTGTCGGACTTTGTCCATTTCATAATATACAGTAGCGGCCATAATATAAGGAACGGAAACAACAAAGACATAAATATATGTATTACTTAAAAAGTAATGCATGATTAGCATGAAACAGCCTGTCGTCTCTAAGTGTTGACTTCAATGTTCACTTTTATATTTACACCCGATCTATCTCTGATATTGAGCACTTTATCCCATAAA